TTTATATATATTTTTTATTTATTTGTTTTTTTAATTATATGTTTATAGATAAGGATGAAATTTTATAGTTATGCTTCGGACTTTTAACAGATTCTGTTTCCTAGTATAATTTTTATTAGCCATGTACAGGTTATAATAGTGCCTTTAAGGTTTTAGATTTCTTTTTATGTTTTTTTCTTTTTTTGCAATTAGTGTTTCTTTTTTCTTTTCTGTTTTTTCTTTTTCTGATTATTTTTATAAATTCCTATTTTAAAAATTTCTTCCTTTTGCCTCATGCACCTTAAGAAGAAGGAAGAATTAGAAGGAAAAAAAGAGATCTTAACAGAGTATACAACAATTTGTCAAATGATCAAGAGGGCATCTTTTGTTAATACAAAATCCGAAACAAGTTTTGAATCCCAAGTGAAACTAATAGTTGTTATAGCAGGTCACATTAGATAGTATTTAAGTACATCTGGTGAGTTTTTATTAGACTAGAACTATTCACTATATGAAAAACATATGTGCCTTGTTATATTGTATTCATATAGCAGTTCACATTAATAAAAGCATGATTGCTTAAAAATAAATAAATAAATAAATAAAGTTTGGTTCTGGTTTGAGTTTGAAAATCTGTAAAATTTGGAGTTCAAGTTTGGGTTTAATCAGACTTAAACTTAAAGTTTGGTTCTGGTTTGAGTTTGAAAATCTGTAAAATTTAGAGTTCAAGTTTGGGTTTAATCAGACTTAAACTTAAACTCTATTAAACTCAAACTAGCTATGAGAACACTATACAATACCTTTCTAAATACATGTTTTTGGCTTAGCTATAAAAAATCATTAGTACTATATAAATATATATTCTATATTCTGCAAATGTATATTTATTTAAAAGATTTTCTATATTATACTAATCTTTCTAAATATACATAGCTAATCAGAATTTAGTATTTGAGTTATGTTATATAAGCCTGCAGATCAAATATTAAAAGCTGCAATTTGATTGGCTCTCTCTAAATGCAAATCTTTCTAAATGTATAATTAAAGCTAGTCTGTACATATTGTATTTAGAGAAGTTTAACTATATTATTTCATAGCTATATGATAACAAATAATATTTTTAAATATAAAAAAAGTATACTTTTTTGTCTTTTTAATTCTTTTTTTACTCTATAGCATATAGTGTTCCAAATCAAGCTAGTTTAATTAGGCTTATTAGAATTAAAAGTTAGCTTAATTTTGGCTTGAAAGGCTTGCAAACTAGTAGTACAAATTATGTAATTATATAATACTTTTCTATCTCTGCTATTAATTATTAATAGTGAAAATAGAAGTATTATTTAATGTAAATTAATAGTGAAAATTATATTATATAATTTGTACTACTGGCTTGCAAGCCTTTCAAATAGAGTTGTTAAATAGAGTACTCCAAGCTATAATAAAACATATAAACCACTCCAGTTTTAAACTAGAGTGGCTTATATGTTTTATTATAGCTTGAAGTACTCTATTAACAACTCTACTTTCAAACAACCCTAATTCCAATAAGCCTAATTGAGCTAGCTTGATTTGAAACACTAATAGCATGTTTTTTAAAGATATTTATTTTATTTATAATAATTATATTATAACAATTGAAATATATATAATTATTCTTATAATCTCTATAGTATAAAGCCAAGATTCTGTTAACTTTTGCTTTGTTTGCTCTTAGTTATTTTTCTTCAAATTGTTGTCAAAACATCTTTGCAGATCTTCACAATATACTGTCTGCTTGAGTCTTAAGCTAATTTACCTTTCATTTTTTATAAAAGTTAGTACTAGTAAAAAATTGTAAATATTCTGATTATTTTTGATTAAATTTAATAATACTGTATATAGTTTATGTGAAGGGCTTTTATTTTCTTTCTTTTGTTTGTTAAACTTGATTAGAAACTTGTAAAAAATCATAAGAATAAAAAGTACTTGCTTATAAATAGTCCTATTCCCCTCGAATCGATAGTTTTCTCGTAATACAATCTGCATTAAACTTTATACTTTACTTTATTTTAGTGTTCGTCACTAGTCGCATACAATGTCCGTAGTTAAAGTAAACTGGTAAACTTGTAAGAGGCAGTTGGGTGCAACACTAGTTACGGTTTAAGCCGTAACATCATTGGGACATCAGTTTGCACCTCTTGTATTAATGAATAAAACAAGAAAATAACCCATTTTTTTTCTTATCCCTTTTTATTAACAATGTGTTGTAATACAGAAAACGAATCTAAATTACCGTGATTTTAAAAATCTTTAGTAATTTATCTAAAACATAAATTTACGGTAAGGTAAATTTATCATTACTAGAAACCTGCACGTAGTGTTATAAGTCGATTAGGGGTTAGCCGACTTAGTGTGTTCTCAAGTAGCACACTTGACGTGATTAGCTAGTAATTGAGATAGTGCATGGTGTTATTAATTGGACCATTTTTGAGAACCGATAGTATGAATGATAATATGATTGAAATATGCTCACGTATCTTCCTCAATGTGATTTGTGTTGGTGCTCAAGTAGTACGATTAATTAAAATATTGGTTGCAATTGATGCTTGAGCAAACAATCATTATCATTATTGTTACGGGTGAAGCGTACGTTCGATAATCTATTCTTTATCAGTTTGATCTTAAACGTCACGCTTAGAGCTGGGTTCACTGCCACCTTGGAAATAGTTTCCAGTTGTACCTGAGGAACCAGATCTCCATGGTTCGCGCTTTTCGTTATCACTTTGATTTTGAACGTCATGCTTAGAGTTAACTATAAAATATAGACTTCATGCTATAGAGCAACTCGCCAGAGGCGTGACGTTGGTGATTTGGGTCATATAATTAAAGGGAAATTATCACCACATAAGTGTCGTAACCAAGTTACATCCTTTTTATAACTTTAAAGGACTAAACTAATGAGGCTTAAACATAACTCATCTTATTTTATAGTGGCTTAATCTATCGGACGATAAGCATACAAAATTGGAAAAAATAACAGGAAATTTAGGAGCCCCACTCTTGTATGCCATCCTAGACTAGCGAGACTTTAGGTGTGAATTTTAGAAACGCAGCCTTGTATTTGGTTTGTATAATAAATCGGGATGTTATCCGGCAGTTATATATGACCATGTGATGTTTTTCCTGTGATATTTTTGCATAAATGATTACGTAACCTCAGTATAAGCGCGAAATAACGCCACCTGCGCGTTATTTCGAATATACCCATGTGCGTTATTTCGAAATAAGAGTGGATTTTCTAAATCCAATACAGTCAACTTCAATAACTGCGCGTTTTGGGGTAAATGTGCATTTATAGATATTCATTTACACTATGAAGCATAATCTACATATAAAGATAATAGAGAGTGCACATATGGAGCATCGATTGTTTATCATTTATCGCAACAATAAATTATGCATTAGGATTATTTCGCGTCCATATGGTAATTTATTGAATGAAATCCGTTCCATGGCTCTAAGCTGAAATTCTCTGATGCAATCATTAATATTTACATTTTTGCTTGTCGGTCTCACATGCCAAACGCCATGCTTTACAATGCGTATTTAGGTTACCCGTCAAATATTATACAGTACCGGACAGTAAAATGCATACACTCTTTATTAGTAGAAACTTTAAATTGTTATAACTTTTTTAAAACAAAATGAATCAAAAAACCCTCTGACAAATTGATAGATCTTTAGCTAAGCTACATTTCTGTTAGAGAATTTTCTTTATTGTTTGTTTTAAAAAAGTTATAAGGAGTTAAAGTTTATAATGGTTTAAAAAATATAAAAAAATGAAAAGATATATATTTATTTAACCAATCAGAATCAAATGCACCAAAGTTAGCCAATCAAAATCGATTATGTAAACACCATAGATTGGATGTCTTTTACTGTCCGGTACTGTATATATTTTTTTGCATCATTAAAAATTATTGTAATAATTACTGACCTAATAGAGTGGTAATCTGAAGAGTATTAGTCAGTAGTAAATAAGTGTCTGTAAACATGAGCCACTTTTTAAATCCACCGATTAATAGATCATTTTTACACTCCCACTAAATTAAGGCATACGGTATTCATACACTTATACGGGCATGCGGCACTTTTACTTATACGGAAAATATGCTGTATCGCCGATATTTTTGCTGGGGAAGTTACCTCCAAAATTCTAAATGTCTGCGCCTCTAGTAACGATGCGAACTTTGGGAAAAATTAAGATTAGCATAGAGCATAATTTGGCCCGGGCAATATAATTGGTTGCAATCACGTTACCGTATCCTTGCGTTCTGATTGGCCGATTTGGTAAAAATCGTGTAAATCGACCATAGTTTTGTAAAGTTAAATCGATATTATTTCCCGTCCCTGATGAAAATATCATGGCAAAAAAAAATTCATATGATCATAGATAAGCATAAATTATCTAAGCCTCCGGAGTTAACCCCGTGTCATTATTACCATTTAGTTATTATTTGTTTTTTACAAATCGAAATAAGCAAAACGATGGATCATAAAGCAAACTACGACGCTTCCAAATCAGTTTCTTCTTTTTCAGAGTTTACTACAAACCAACAGAACACAAAAAACGCGCCTTTTTTATTTGCGGCAAAGATTTTTAGCATAAATAATAAGTTAATAATTCGTCGACGTTGGTAATGATTTTGAGGATCCATAACGATAATAATAATGTAAAATCAATCAATGAATAATTTCGACCAATAAGCACTCTATGATAAAAAGGACATTTGGGCCTCTATTTCTTGTTAATTGGAATGATAAATACTATTGATCGGTTAAATGAACTTCCGCTAATAAAATTTTTCTTTCTGATTTCATACGTGATCTATTCATTGGAAAATTGATTCGTTAAACTTTATCCTCAGACAGATTGATTAAGGTGCTTGAGAACATCCTTAGCCGACTTACCGTAGCTGGTTAAGCCGATCGATTTTTTGGAAAATCGGCTTAGTCGACTCAATAAAAATTGAATTAATTGACTAAGCAGACTAAGCCGATTTTTATAATATCGACTTAGTCGATGGTTTAGGCTTCGACTATTACAGTATTAACACTACCTAGAAAATACATTCAGGGAATAACTCTGAGCGAAGATATCTCGACAACCGTCAAGCTAATTGTGATGAAAATTCTTTTATTTAAGTTATACGAACTTGTAGAATTCAAATTAAAAAAAAATTTCATCAAAATTTGTTTGATGGTTGTCTAGATATCTTTGCTTGAATTTCTTTTAAAAAAAAAACTTTCTATTTTGATTAACGATTTATCGCTGTTTTCGAAATGGTTGAGAATAGCAAGATTTACAAAAAAAATTTTTTATGCGAATACCCAGAAACCCGATTAGTTTAGAAGTGATATCAGGAAATTTTTAAATAAGCTACATATCGATTACTAGCTGCAGGGTTAATTGGCAACGATTTATATCGATTATAATCGATTGCAATCATTTAAATTTAAATGATTACAATCGATATAAATCGATTGCAATCATTTAAATTTAAATGATTACAAGCGATTATAATCGATATAAATCGTTGCCAATTAACCCTGCAGCTAGTAATCGATATGCATCTTATTTAAAAATTTCTTGATGAACATTGAAACAATTATGCGATTATCGATCAGTGTTATAAACTAATCGGGTTTTCAGGTTTTCGGGTATTCGCTATTCTCAACTTTTCCGAAAACAGCGATAAATTAAGATAACGATGATAAAAAATTTTCGGAACTGCACTCTATATTAAAAGGTTTTACCGAAAGACAGATTCCCGAAAGGACCTAATACCGACAAAGTTAGCCGGCATTAGTTATAATGCTGGCCAATTTAGTCGGTATTATTTTCTTTCGGGAAAATGGTTTTCGAGATTTTTGTGGCAGAACCAATTAAACCATAATAAAATAAATAAAGATAAACATTAAGAGGGCTTCGGCGAGTATAACTTTATCTGTACCGTACAAGCGCGAAATAACGCGCAGAGGTGTAATTTCAAATTTTGGCCTAAATTATGCCTAATTCGGGCCATTATTCAAAAGAATGCCCCTGTGCGTTATTTCGCGTTTATATACCAGTTACACGATTTGTCACATCTAAAATTTTATCATATGATCTTCACAAATTACGACTACGCCAGGGCGTAGGATCGATTTTACTGTCACGTGATCCCCGATCCGATGATCCGATGATCGACCTGCTACGTCGCACATGCATTTTGTACTACAAAATTTCACTGTCATTATATTGCGATGCTGTATATCTGTAACAAAAATTTAAAAATATAAAAATACTTTATCATATATACATTAGGCCACACAAAGTTAATTTCTTGGTTTATATAACCTGGCCGGGTCAAAATTTATAGATCTTTGAAAAAAATTTTATATGTAATTTATTATAAAATCTCCGGGTCAGTTTTTTTAAAAAAAATTTTAAAAAATTTCATATGTTTTTATATTTTTCTCTAAAAAAAATCATATAAAATTTTTTATAATTTAAAATAAAAAGCCGGGTTGCCGGGTCACTTTTAAAATTTTATGTTATGAAAACCAAGAAATTAACTTTGTGTGGCCTTATATATATTTTTTTCAATTTAGCAATTTCAATGCTTTATTAAGTATAAACATTTAAACTTACAAATAAAAATGCACTTTTGACTAAAGTTATCTAAAGTCTACCTAATTTACAAGTATTCACTAACTTAGCTTTTTATAATATCGAAGTACTCAAATTATCCATATTTGATCTACTATAGTAAAGTTTATTTCTATATCAAAAAACTCTGCAACTAAATTCTTCAATACATAACTGAATGGTATTTACAGCCTATCAAGATTGTTTTCTTTTCTAACCTTCTTCTCCTAGCTTTCTGAGCAGAAGAATTTATAGTCTCTAACTAATATATGAAAAAAAACCAATAACTAACAAATATAAAAGAAACAAAACAAAAGAGAGGATGAACAACTAGCAGGAGATGCCTTTGTATAGAAAATTTTGGTGAAGACAGTGTTCTGGGGAAAAGGGTTTCTGTTAATAAAGTTTTTTAAGAGTTAAACAGAAAAGACAAGAGGAACAGCAAAAGTTTTTATTTTTCAACACACTTCTTACAAGCTTTGCAAGTGGTTGCTCTTTATCTTTAAAATTACTTTCAATAACTTTCACCATTTATAAAATTTTTTTTTTGAATATTGGCTTACCCACTTCAAAGAATCAACATTGTTTATATTCCAAATCTGGAAAGCTAAGAAGATTACAACCACATGTTCAATAGATATGGTGCTACTAATTTAAACAGGTTCCAGGTTCTAATAATGGTAGCAGGTGGTTTGAGATACAGATTTACAGATGGTGGCAGCACCTGGCTTGAGATACAGATTAGGTCAGGCCAAATATTCTAGAGTTAGTCATATAGTTGAAAAGGAATACTAATGTTAAGGTGAAGCTTTACAGTAGAGATATACAAATATTATATTTGTTATATAATTTTTATACTTGCCTGGCACAGGTTATAATAGTATACCACTTTTTTTTTATGTTTGTTTTTGTGCTATTTTTTGATAGAGGTAGCTGCTATTTCTCACAAAAGATAGTATTTTTATTTTTTTTTTAAGCGATCCTGCTTTTATTCATATGAGCTGTTCTATAATTTATATGCAAATATACTAAATTCTTACAACTTGTTACTCTAACTCAATAAAAACTTACAGGCTAAACACCTAATGCAACCTGCTATACCAACTATTTATCTTATTCAAAATCCAAAACTTACTTCAGATTTTGATCATCAAAATGATGCCCCTGATCATTGACAGGTTGTTGTATACAGCATCAGGATCTCTTTTTTCCTTTCTAATTTTTCCTTCTTCTTAAGGGGCATGAGACAAAAAAGAAAAAATTTTTAAAAAAAATATACGAAAATGACTAGAAAAAGAAAAAACAAAAAAGAAAGAAAAAATACTGATTGTGAAAAAGAAAAAACATAAAAAGAAATCTAAAATCCTAAAGGCACTATTATAGCCTATACATAGCTAATAAAAATTATATACCAAATGCAACATTTGTATATCTCTACTGTAAAGCTTCGCCTTAACCTTAAATTTACTTTTCAACCTTTCTACCAACTCCAAATAGCTTTATTGCCTGTTCTAATTCAGAATAGAGTTTCCAGGCTGAGTCTTATAAAATAGCATCATATTTGTCTATAAACAAATACATAGTTGCATTTCACTAATTTGTTTGGATTTGGAAAGTAAACAATGCTGATTTTTTGGAGAGAGTAAGCCAAATCCCACTTTTTGTAAAAAATTTTAAAAGACCAACAGAAAGGCGATTAGAAGTAAAAGAGGGACCATCTGGCCAAGTAAAAGAGTGTAGCTTGAAAAAAAGCAAATTCTTGTTGCTTTTTCTGTATTCCTTATTTTGAAGTAATAGTTTAAGTGCTTCGTTAACAGAGAAAACTCCAGTCTCTATACCAAGATTTTGTATCCAAGAGCACACACCTCCTGCTAGTTATTTTGTATACTAACACCCTTGGCTTGCATAATAAACTCACAATTTATAAAGAAGTCCTGGAAGAGAAAACCCGTTGACTACTAGGCAAACTACACATTAGGCTACAACTCTCCAAAAAAAGTTGGTTTTCTTCAGTAGGAAATTTTGGTTCAAATGATCGTTGGGAAGAGTTGATAAACTTTTTTGATATCTATATTTCAAGAGATAGCATTTTCTTATTTAGCCTGTCTGGGCTTATCTCTTTGTTTTTTTCTTTTTTTATATTTTCTGGTTTTTTTATTATTATTTTCCTTTTCTTGTTTTGTTTCTTTTTTGTATATAAACTCCTTTTCTTCTTGATGTATATTCTTGTATTGAGAATACAGAATATTTTTTTTCTTTTGCTCTCAGTGAAAAAAGTAAGAATAAAGGAATAGGCTCTTGGTGGGCTAACTTACATATAGGTTGGTACAACAAGTTGCTTTTGGGCACACTAGATGCAGCTAGGTGATATTAGGCTCACAATTGTTATACTGTTATTATTTATTCTGTTCAAGTTTGTTTAAATAAAGTATTGTATATAAGCTCCAACATGACTGTCAAAGAGCTAAAAAAAAAAAGAGAGAATGAAAAAAAAATGTCTAAGCAACAAGAAAACAAATAAAAAAAATAAATAAAAAAAAGAAAAAAAAAAAAAAAAAGAAGCAATTTATAAAAGCAGTATTATAGCCTGTTCAAGGCACAGTTGTAAAAATTATATACTTAATTAAATTTAAAACAAACTAATTTAAAATTTAAAAGTTTTGTATATCTCTGTTGTAAAGCT